CCAGCACCGCAACACGATAAAGGTAAACAACCCAACTGAAAAAATGGGCATAGGATATGAACAGATCCTTCACCAATGAAGACATTTAGATGGGAAAAAAGCACACAAAGAAATGTTCAAAATCCCTCATTCTAAAAGAGATGCAAACCAAAACAACTATGAGATATCATCTCACGCCAGTAACAATAGCAAAGTTAAACAGATCAGCAAACAACAAACGCTAGCAAGGTTATGGAGAAACTGGAACCCTTATTCACTGTTGATGGGAGTGTAAAATGGTGCAGCCACTCTGGAAGGCTGTATGGCACTTTCTTAAAAAGTTGGAAATAGGAACACCATTTGATCCAGCAATTGCCCTACTGGGAATAAACACTGAAGAAACCAGAACTGTCACCCAAACAGATACATGCACAATCATGTTTATTGATGTGTTGTTCACAAAAGCAAAGATGGAAGCAACTCAAGTGCCCATCAACAAATGGATTGAAAAAGGATGGGATAGTCACACAATGGAATACTATGTAGCACTGAAAAACAAGTAACTCATAAATATTATACAAAATGGGTAACCATGGAGGACATTATGCTGAGTGAAATATCTCCATCACAAAAAGACAAATACTGCATAATGCCACTGTTGTAAAACAGGACAGACATGGGGGTTGGGAGAAACTAACAAAAGAGGGAAGAAATAATGACACTGCGTTGAAACAGATGAGAAAAAGAACTGTTTAAAAGGAATATATAATTAGGTATTATTTGCATGACAACAGTCCAGAATAAGAGGTACTTCGCAAGGTGGACTGGAGTGGGGGAGTGAGAAATTAGGCAACAGTGAAAGAATCTTTTTAAAGAGTAAAACGAACTGGGGCAGGGCGAGGGAGGGAAATGTGTAACATAGAAGTTTTTTGTAAACTTTTGTTAAAATATCAATAAAAAAATACAATAAAAAAGTGAAAGTTGAAAAAAATTCTAATAACTTTGGTAAATAATATGGAAAGCTATGCTTTGTGTTTTTTCTCTCTTTAAAACTTGTTCACTATATATTTTGGAAGACAGGTCTAAGTTCATTTTAAACATTTCCTCTCACAGATGACACTTTAGAACAGCCATGATGGCAGAAAATCTTTATGTTTGGAGCAAGAAGGACTGGGGCCTATTGATATAGATTCCTATTAATTTGGGAGCTATTTTTAAATTCTTCACTCCTTTTAGTCTAAATCCAGACAGGAGACCACAGTGATCAAGTATTGCCTTAGGAGACTGGGATGGCCAAATATCTATACTTCACATAAGTGCTTGAAAAAGGATTTGATTTTCTGAAGACTTAAGGATGATTTTGCATTTTCTTTTACTGCAAAGAAGTTAGAACTGACTCATAGCTGACCCACCACTGAGTTTCCAATGCAGTAAAAAAACAGGAAGAGACTACCTCTGTCTTCTGAGGAGCTGGTGATGAATTTGAACCACATGAGAGGCTCGGCTTTTGGGTTAACAGAACAACTCTACAGACTAGGCCACTAGAGCTTCCTTATTTTTTTTAGGGAAGTTCTATTTTGCTTTTTGGATCTACTGAAAAATTGGGTTGATCTGGGGTACTCTCAATTTTGGGGAAGTTTGTTTCTACTCTAGAATTTATTTTAAGTCTTGGAGCCCAAAATGGCAAATACATATTAATCAAAGCACACTTTCTTACAGAGCCTATGACAAAGCATGACTGTAGAAAATAGAATTCTAAACAACCACCATCAATCTGTGTTCTCCCTCTGTTTGTTAGGCTGGGGATTCTCTTGGCCTCTAATTAACATCTCTCCTGTGTGATGTACTTACCGTCATCAGTGATTGCAGATCAACACTATCTCTGATTCTACCCTCATTCCGGGCTTTAGTTGCGAGATTTCCAAACCAGATGAATGGAACCCAGTATTTCAGATGAGGAGATTTGAGACGGTCAAATAATTTTCTTTCATCTGCTGTCATAAACCCTTTGCACAAAAGAAAAATAGATGAATGATACTCTTGGATCAGCACTAGTACATTAACATAAGTATTTCATAGATGTGCGTATACAGCTGGGCGATTTTAAAGAATTAGAAAGGAGTCCTGGTGGCACTGTGGTTAAAACATCCATCTGCTAAGCAAAAGGTTGGCGATTTAAACCCATCAAACACTTCACAGAAGAGAGAGGAGGTAGTCTGCTTCCATAGCGATTTACAGCCCTGGAAAAATCCTCTGCTCCATAGGGTTGTTATGAGTTGGAACTGACCTGATGGCAGCAGGGGGTTAATTTGTTTGGGTATCAGGAAATTTATACTCATATTAGAGATAAGGAATGTGTGTATGTCTACACACCCTATACCTCTTGCACGCACAGACAAGTTAAATATCAATATACAAGTTAATTTGTGGTAACACTGAAAAATTGTTGTTGGGCATCAGAGTGAGTTCTGATTCATAGTAACTCTGTGTACAACAGACTGGCAATCCCTAAAAGTAATATACACAAAATGTTGTGGGGAATATAAAGGTCAATTTGCCCTCTGCCCCTTAAAGGACTCCATATAGGATTTTTTTAAAATCTTAGATGAATAAATACAATCTAGAGAAGACAACTTCCCAACTGTTGTAATCCATATTTAATATCTCATTACTTACTTCCTACTAGTTTTTCTATTAGGGACTGACAGTCGTCCCCCTTCTCTCCTCTCCTTTTTGGACATTTAGACATATATTACTCAGTTATCCTCCTAGTTTCACAATAGTGGCCTTATGCCATATTTGTTCTTGTGTCACCAAGATAATTCACTCAGTAAAATGCTCTCCAGTCTCTCTCTAGTTATATAGTATTTTATAAAGCCATTGGCTCAGTGCTGCATCGTATACCAGTGTGTGAATGTACTAAAATTTCTCAATTCATTCATGTGTTGATGGCCATCTGGGCTGTTTCTATTTTCTTGCTGTTGTGAATAATGGTGCTATGAACATAGATGTACAGTGTCCATCTATGTTTCAGTTCAGATTTCCTTGGGATATATTCCTAGAAGTGGGATTTCTATGTTTGGCTTTTTTTTTTTTTCAATCCCCAAGGCGTTTTATTGTGCAAACTGGGATGAGGCAGAGGGGCTGTGCCTAGAAGAAGGTGTTGGGCCGCTTGGTGGTGAACCGTGGCTTGTGCTGGCGACGCAGGACCCGGTGGGGCAGTGGGAACTTGATCTTGGAGTCATGGAACTGCTTGACTGCAGGTCGGCGGCACTTGTTGGCTGCGATCTCCTCCACCTTCATGATCTGGATAGAGTGGGCCCTGGCACGATGCCGAGCGCCCATGTCGCGGTAGCACTGGGTGACAGCTCCTGCGGTGGTCAGGTCCCGGTATTCCCGGTACATGTTGTGGGTCCCACTGCGGGAGTCGTAGCGCAGCCAGATGCCAAAGTTCTTCACACGCAAGGGGGTCTTCTCGAACACCTGTCCACAGTATACAATTTCCCCAGAAGACTTCTTCATCTTCTTCAGCTGTGACACAAAGTACCAGAAGCGGGACTTGGCAACAACATGGTTGGGGGTAAAGATGCGCATGCGGTAAAGTGGTGGAGTCCGACACTTGGGGGTGGGCAGGCAGCGCCCCACCACTTTGTACTCACGAAGTGTTCCCGAAGCCTTCATTGCGACCTCTCTGCGCTCGCCACGACCCGAAAAAGGAGGTATGTTTGGCTTTTTGAGGAAATGCCAACCTGCGTTCCATAGTGGTTGCACAATTGTATGGTGGTATAAACAGTGTGTAAGAATTCCAATCCCTTTGTATCCTCTCCAACAGTTATTGTTTGCTGTATTGTTGACTTTGCTACTGCTTGAGTGAGGTGATATCTCATTGTAGTTTTGATTTGCATCTGCTCTGATTTCTAGAGATTTTGAACAATTCCTCATGTGTTTCTTAGCCATCTAAATGCTTTCCTTTGTGAAGAGTCTTTTGCCCAAGTTTTGATTGGGTTATCAGTCTTTTTCTTGTGAATGCCCTGTGATATTTTGTAAACTTTGGTTATGAGGCCCTTGTCTGATGTATCATTGCCAAATATTTTTCCAGCTATTTGGACATTTTTACTTTACTGGAGAAAGTTTTTGGTGCACACAGGTATTTGATTTTAAAAAGGTCCCACTTGCTTATTATCTTCTCCCAGTTGTGCATGTTTGCCTGTGTTCACAAGCCAATTTGTGCTGTAGGCCAGGGCTTCTAATTTTGTTCTCATTTTGTCTCTTATGATCTTTATGGCTTGGGATTTTACTTCTATGTCTCTGATCCACTTTGAGGTGGTTTTTTTTTAATGTAATAGACCATTTTTATTTATATGTTTTCCTTGAAATTCTTTTTTCTTTTTTAAATTTTATACTGGTTTACCTACAAAGTTTGTATACATTGCCCCTTACACTGGATCCCCTCTCCCCAGCCCACACCCTCTCCACCCATCAAACTGTGCAACCCTATGATTACCCTTCCCCTTCCCCCCTTAGATCCTCATACACATTTTACTAATTATAAATCTCTACAATAATGGTCTTATACAGTATTTGTCCTTATGGGACTGAGTTAGTTCACTTAGCATAATACTCTCCAGTCCCTCTCAAGTTAGGTAGTGATTTACAAAATCATTGCTCCTGCCTGATGCATTCCATTATGTGAATGTATATAATTTCTCAATCCATTCCATTGTGGCATCTTGGCCTGTTTCCATGTCCTCACGATGGTGAATAATGCTGCTAAGAATACTGGTGTACAAGTCTCCATTTGTGCCTCAATTATCATTCTCTTGGGGTATATTTCAAACAGTGGAATAGCTGGGTCATCTGGAATTTCTATGTTCAGCTTTCTGAGGAAATGCTAAATTGCCTTCTAGAGTGGTTGTACTATTTTACAATTCCACCAATAGTGTCTAAGAGCTTCTATCTCACTACATACTCTCTCCAACATTTATTACTTGCTGCCCTGCTAAACTTTACCACTGCTATTTGAGTGAGATGGTATCTCATTGTGACTTTGATTTGTATCTCTCTTATTACCAGTAGTTTTTAGTATTTCTTCATGTGTCTGTTGGCCATCCAAATATCTTCCTCTGTGAAAATTTTCCCATGTCTTTTGCCATTTTTGTAATTGTGTTCTCACAAGTCTTTTTCTTATGGAGGCCCTGTAGGATTCTGTAAACTTTTGATATGAGATGCTTCTCTGAAATGGTATTGCCAATTGTTTTTTCCCAATCAGTAGGTTTTCTTTCACTCTGCTGGTAAAAGGTTTTGATGCACACACGGATTTAATCTTTGGAACGTCTCATCCATCAGTTTATCCTCTCCAGATTGTGTTTCTGGCTGTATTTGGCAGTTTCTTTATACCATAGGCTAGGCATCTAAGCTTGATCCCAGTTTGTCTCTGATGAACTTTATAGTTTTGTGCTTTACTTCCAGGTCTCTGATCCACCTTGAGTTGCTTTTTGTGTATGGTGTGAAATATAGATCCTGTTTTAGCTTTCTGCAGGTAGCAATACAGTTTTCCCAGCACCATTTTTTGAAGAGGTTGCCATTTCCCCATTTGATAGGTTTTGTTTCCTTGTTGAATATTAGTTACCCATAGATATCTGGGTCCATTTCTGGGTTCTCAATTCTGTTCCACTGATCTATGTGCTTGTCATTGTACCAATACCATGCTATTTTGGTTACTACTGCTGTGTAGTAGGTTTTCAGGTCAGGAAGTGCTATGCCTCCCACTTCATTTTTGTTTTTCAGAAGTGCTTTGCATATTCAGAGTCTCTTTCTTTTACTAATAAACTTGACAATTTCCCTTTTGATCTCCTTTGAAAAATTATATTGGTATCTGTGTTGGTATTGCATTGAACTTGTAGATTGCTTTTGGTTGGACTGTCATTTTCACAATGAAATTGAGTCTTCCTATTGATGAACAGGGGACATTTTTCCATTTCTTTCAGTCTTTTAGTGTGTCTCACAGACATGTTCTGTAGTTTTCTTTGTACAGGTCTTCTGTGTCTCTAGTTAGATTCACTACCAAGTATCTCAATTTGTGGTTGGATATTGTAAATGGTATTGCTTCCTTGGTTTCCTTCTCTGAGTTCTTTTTGTTACTGTAGAGGGAGCCCACTGATTTTTTTATTTTAATGTTATATCCTGCTACTCTAGTAAATTGTCTACTAGCTCTAATCAGGTTTTTTTGTTTTGGCTTTTTGTTGTTGTTGTTGTTGAATCCATGGGGTTTTCTGTATACACTATCATATCATTTACATATAGTGACAGTTTAACCATCTCTTTGCCGATCTGGATGCCTTTTATTTCCTTCTCTTGTCATATTGTCCCAGCAAGTACTTCCAGTGGAATGCTGAATAGAAGTAGTGACCGTGGGCATCCTTGCCTGGTCCCTGTTCACAAGGAATTGAGTTGGTTTTTATTGCGTATTCACTTTAAAGTCACTTTTTCTCCTTCTTGTCTACATTTTTTCTAAGAAAAGTTATTATAATAGAAAAGATGTAACAAGAGAAGTAGTCTGTGTCCATTTTGAGAGTCACTGACTCATAGAATTTGGGAATCAGAACTTTGATACGACCTAGGTCTTGATTTTGAGCATAAGGTCCATTAGAATCATCTGAGGCATGTTTAAAGAGGATAGAGCTGAGTTACCTTTTGGCTCTGCCATTTAGAATTTCCTTATTTACTTAAAAAAATAATGCCAGGGTCTGATTCCCAGAAATTCTTATTTAACTGGCAAGGTCTCCAGGCATTCTTTTAAATTTTCCTGGATGCATTAATGAAATTGAGTCCAAACAGTTACATGTTTACTAAGCTCTGCAGGAAATTCTGACATACGTCAATGTTTGAAAATCTGTGCTCTACTGAATGAGGGCTTTGTTCATTCAGTATTTGAAATAAACAGAGGAACAAACTCTAAGTCAATATTTACCAACAGATGACTACTTTGACACAATACTCAGGTTAT